GTAGAGGAGGAAGTTTGGTGGTGGAGGATATCTCTCACGACGACGACGACGACGACGATGACGATGATGATGTCAATGGGGAATAATTCAATGGTGCTTTGCATGCGGGAGGGGATGGTGGGTTGATTGTGTACTCTGGACCTGGCGTTTATGAAGATGGGATGGTTTTGAGCATTTTCTCTGGGCAGTCATGGTGGCCTACTCGTCACTACGTGTGGGCACTGATGCTGGAGCTGAAGCTGGAGTGCCCTTTTTGGTCTGCAGTTTCTCCGATCACATGTACCAGTATGCATACACTCAGCGGTGTGTTGGATACTTTTCTGTACGGCGCAGATCACACGGCCCAAGGATAAATCAGCATATCGCTGGTTCTCGGCATTTGCAGCTTTGGCATCAGCGAAAAGGCTCAACTTCCGTCGCCGTGTCGACTGTATATACATTCTTCGCAGGGCAATCCGTCATGGCGTGTGCCGCGAGGGGTCGTGACGTTGCCAAGTACCACGTGCGAAGTACTGGGCGTGCTGTGCGTAATAAGGTTACACCACCAAGCCTTCCCGCCCTTCCCGAATATAGGGTGACGGGTGACAGGCCACGCCGGAGAGAAATATACTGTAGTATAAAAGGAAAGAAGCTACGCAGCGGAAGAAAAAGACAACCCGGCCAGATTTGAACTGAGACCTTTGCTGCGCTCAGGCGGTGAGAGTCAACCGTCGCAGCCGTTGGGTAGATGGAGTCAGGTTGTTGCAAGGGCAATAGAGATCCACCACCCCTTGAGACGCAGATGTGCTGAGCTAGAAGCAGACCTCCAGGCAAACCCCAGGCCACAAAATTCCATCCGTAGTCTGGATTCCTGCCAGGTCCTAGATTCTTTGTGGATCTTTTGGGCGACAACCCGTGACGGCGGCGGGCTTGCGTGGAGGGTCGGAGGCTGTGCAGGCGCAGAGAAGTCTTGGCAAAGGAACCCCCCCCCAGGCACAGCTCTTCTGAGCCCATCTTCCACATCTTGCCGAGCGGCATCTTGGAGGGGAGGAAGTACGCAATCGTTTTTGTTAGTGTATCATACAACCGTTTGCGATTCACCATTGGATGTTATCTATATAAAGGGTAGTATTTTCTAGAAATTCTCTGGCTGTGGCACCTGTGGTCCAGTGGTTTCTGCATCCTGGGCATTGGCGGTGACACAGTGACACAGTGACACAGTGACACAGCGACACAGCGACACAGCGACACAGCGGCACACACGCGCGGCACAACCACAGAGTCCCAGCACACATCAGCCACCTCGCCTTGCGGATACCCTCGTATATCAACCTTAAGCAGATCAATCTCGGCTCTGGGGATTTTTGTCCTCGAGACATCCTTTTTCTGCCGCCAGGTTCTCGACAGACACGGAAACAAAAAGACCGACGCAACCGCCTTCGCAGCTCGACAAACTCCCATCTCTTGTTCCTCTGCACTGTCTCTTGTTTCGCCCGGTCGTCGCTAAAGACATAGGGTTGTCGTCGCCAAGACGCAGAGCGCCAAAAGCAAAAACGCTGCCGCCGCACCCTATTCGCGGGTGACAGCTGCCTGGACGCCTGGAACCAGCCGTCGAACCTCTACCCCGGATCGTCAAACGGCCCCGTTACGCGAGACAGCTGAGGAAGTGCCTCCGGATTGTTGGAGAAGGCGCTTTTGCGACGTGCAGCCGCCTGCGCTTGGACATTGATCTTTTCCGGGTTGCGATAAATCGCAGTCAACAAAAAGCTGCCTTGATCTCCCTCTCTCTTATCGAGCTGGACGGATGCAATAGCCCCCCATTTTATTCCTCGGCTTCTTTTTAAAATTGCGCGACAACCCGCAGCCGCCGCGTCCTCTCGCCCCTCCCCTCTGCGTGACAGCACCTCGAGAACGTTGAAACACACAACCACACAACACAGTTGCGCGCCGGGCATTCGGCTGTTCGTCAACCCCCTCATCCTGCGGTTTCCTGCCCGGTCTCCGGCAGCGGTAGCCCACCATGAAGAAGGGCTTCAGCATAAACAGGGTGCTGAGCACCATGAAGAAGAGGCCGACCTTCAGTGAGTCCCTTCCTCCGGCCCCCTGGCTTGGCTCGGCGCGGCGATCTTGCCGAATCAAGTGGCGCGCGTATCTAGTTACTGACGGGATTTCCCGCCGCGGCAGGCAACAGCAATGACGAGCCGGCGCCGGATCCGAATGGCGATTCTCCCGAGGCGGTCGCGGGGCGCGCAGTGGTATGGACACACGCTCATTGATAAGTAGACGAAGCGGGAGCTGTACTGACTCGGCGCGGTGTTCCAGAGGCAATTCTGCGAATCAGGGGGCAGTTCTTCGGTATGTTCAAGACCGCGGCCCAGAAGCTCCTCTGCCGCTCCTCTCGTGTGTTTGTTTGTGGAATGGTCAACTGAGGCTACAAGGATCCATCACAGGGCGACGACATAACCTTCCTCCCCGCCATCGTCGATGCCGCCGAGTCGTCTCCGGCCGCCGCCGCCGAATGCGCCCGTGTCATTCGCAAGTTCCTAAACTGCGACTACTGGAGCAAACCTTCGTACCAGTACAACGCCATCATGCTGATCCGCATCCTGTCTGATAATCCGGGCCAAACCTTTACGCGCAACCTGGACAAGAAGTTTGTCGACGCAAGCAAGGAGCTTCTGCGGTCCGGGCGGGATCCCCATGTGCGCCAGATGTTGATGGAGACGCTCGACTCGTTTGAGAATACAAAGGGGTATGACGAGGGGCTAGGCTTGATCATTGAGATGTGGAAGAAGGAAAAGGAAAAGGCGTACAAGGCCTATGGGGTACGTCATGCCGTGGGAAGGCTTACCGCTATGACAGAGGCAAAATAGGGGCAAGATGCTAACAAAGCCAACCAGGGCCGTCCCGCCGAGCCAACCCCCCGGGTCCTCAATGCTCCGCCCTTCAACCCGCAGCCCGACCCGCACTCGCAGGAGTACTTCTCGCGCGCCCACCGTAGCCGACGGCTGCCCAGCGCCGTTGAGCTCGCCAACCGCCTCGAAGAAGCGCGGACCTCGGCCAAGCTGCTCGAGCAGGTTGTCGGCTGCACGCCGCCCGCCGAAGTGCTGCACAACGACCTCATCAAGGAGTTTGCCGACCGGTGTCTGAGCGCGTCGCGTAGCATCCAGGGCTACATGACGGCGGACGACCCGTCGCCCGACAACGACACGATGGAGAGCCTGATCGACACCAACGAGCAGCTGCAGCACGCCCTCAACCAGCACCAGCGTGCCGTCCTGCACGCCAAGAAGCTGCTTCCCACGAGCACCGACCGCTCCAGCACCTCGAGCCCGGCGACACAGCACGCCGGCGGCGACCGAAGCGGAGGCGGGTGGGGCGTCCCCCCACCATCCGGCCCGCCCCCATCCCAACAAAGCAGCGTCCCGGGCCCGCCCGTGCCCAGCCGGAAACCCGTCGGCGCCTCGGGAGGGTCCGGCTCCGGCTCCGGCTCCGGCGGCCCCGTCTACAAGGGCAAGGGCACCGACCCGTGGGACAGCGTCGGGCCCACACGCTCAGGCGCCGGCACCCCCGCCGCCGCCGCCGCCGCCGCGAGCGACGACCCGTTCCGGGACCCGGTGCCGCGCACCGAGTCGGCGGCGTCGTCATCGCGGCGGCCCGGGAGGACCTCGAACGACGGCGGCGAACTGCCTAGGCTGCCGTACGAGCCGTTCCACCCGGGGTTCAACCCTTCGACGCACGGCAGGGACCGCGCGGCGGCGGCGGAGCCCGTCACGCCCGTGAGTGATGACGGGTTATATGATAATGACAATGACGCGTACCGGGCAACGCCGCCGGGGAATGTTTATCGGTATTGAGGAGAGCTAAGGGAGGGGGAGAGAGAGAAGAGCGGAGAAATATAGCGCGCCATCTGCAACTTATCTACCTGTACGTAATTTCGGGGATGGCCGAGACATATGAGCGAGGCATGGCTTTTTTTTTTTTTTTGTTCTTGGCGGTAGCTACACGCCCCCCTTCGGCCGACGCGGAATGATTATGACAGCGTGAGCGGTATTCTATTTTTACTTTTATTCTTTTTGAGAGAGAGAGAGAGGAATGGACTGGCGCTTTGGCTCTGGTCTGTAGGTGTTGGTTGTGTAGATGGGGCCGAAACCGTGAATTTGAGGTACGAGTTTGCTGGCCTGTGTTGAATGGTGTTTATCTGGCGGTCTGACGGGTGTGCTTAGATGGGGTTTGAGGTGAAGGCGTAGGTGTGTTGGTGGGTACACAAGGTCTTGAATCGTGAGGTCGGGTCTTGGTGTGAGATCTATGCTCTGGCTGTGTCGCGGATGCGAGCTGGGTACGAGACATACTCTTAGACTTGGGTACGGGTGAAGTCATAACTGAAATACAAAAGTAAATTAACACTGTTGGCCTGAACCGTTGCCCTCGGAGCATTCCTAGCCGTGACCTTACCAAGAGATCATCAGCTGTGAAGAAACGATGGGGATCATCCAAAATCACTTATCAACACACGGTTATGCACAATAGGCACTCATGCCGGCCCGGACGTATCTCACATCACCATTTTCAAGTGTGTGACATCCCAAGCCCAAGTCTGTCTTGAAAGCAGCTCAGCTACTTGAACCATATCCCCAGTCTCCAGTCTTCCGCTTCCGAAATCACCCGCCGCCTCTTCGCATCCAGGGCCGTTTGACTCCCAGCACAAACAATCCTCCACATTACGGTAACCTCACCGCTTAGCTCACACCCAGCTGCTCTCCAAAATAAAGACCCCATTCCAAGTCGACTCTTGGAATCCAAGATGTGGGCAACATCCCGTCAACGGAGGCATGGCAGCCACCACACCTCCCCCTTACAAATCGCACAACATTCCCTCCTCTCGATCAAGCCACCATTCCAAAGGTTATGGATTCAAACAAACTTCGTCATGGCCTCGGCTCCACGGGCGGACTCCACGAGTGCGACACCCACCCACATGTAGGGATTCAACCCTAGCCACAACATCTCAACAAGAAACAGCGTCAGGAGTTTAGTGGTAAATCCATCGTTGCCATTGATGGGCCCCGCGTTCGATTCGCGGCTGACGTAGTGAATACTAATATATAGCAATTGCTTTCTATTTGCTCCCCGAGTTAGTCTATCGCGAAGCCATAGTCAGATCCTTTCCCATTTTGTTTTGGGCATATTGCAATTGAATTGGGTTGTGAAAACAACCTAGAATCACAATGCCCCAACTCACCGGCATTACAGGGTTAAATACTCCAGTCCGGTGAGTTCTAGATCCCAGATATTCGCGCCGAAGCATCACGTCGCCCTAAACTCTACACAAATCCACCTCGGCTCCAATTCATATGTATGATTTCGAACTTCGTTCTCCATCAACAAGCACGGGGATGTGGCTCAGTTGGTAGAGCGTTCGCTTAGCAGCTTCTGACTGCCAAAGGTCCCGAGTTCGGTTCTCACCATTTCCATGGTGTCGAGTTGGCAGCTGTGTATACGGCTGTTGATCTCCCATTTGGCGTTTTGTGTATATTCCATGTTTTGAGCCTATCGGACCTCCCATTCAGTCCCACACCCTCCCTTCCAATCAACCAAGCAATATTAGCGTAATCCCGGCATTACTTTCCATGCACACTTGTGCAGTTGGGACTAGGCCATCTCCTCGAGTTATGGCGGCCAGAGAGAGAGAGGTACATGCTGGATCTGCCGGCACACTGTGCACTTCTGGGCGTCGATGCCGGGCAGGCCACATCGACACGACCGACGTCAACATTAGCGCCGCAGGATATCACGAGGCATATGTCCAATAGAAAGAAGGGAGGGACGCACGAAAATGGATCTGGAGGAAACCAACAAACCTGCTTGATTTGCTTACGGAAGCCGGGGTATCCCAGCAAAGCAGGTATCACCGCCTCCAGGTCCAGAGTATCGACGGGGAGCTGCATACCGCTGCCAAAGAGGATACGCCGTGCCACGAAGCCCAGAATCCGATGATATCCGCAAGCCATAGATGAGGGAAAGGGTGGCCCTTTGACAAGTGTCGTATTCAAAGGAGAAAGCATCAAGGTACTTCCGCTCCAGCTTCTACTTCCAAACAGAAGAAGGCCACCTGTAGCTCCCTAAGTCAATCACAGAGTCTTGGAGGGGTTGACATGGCCGTCAATGGAAATCAAAGAAACGGCATCGAGATTCGATCCCGTAGGGCCGAGTAAGACAACGGACAACAGCCAAGAAAAATGACAGCTCATTCACCAGCCAACATTTGACTGGTCGCTCCATCTTGGGCTGCGAACATCTGAGGCCACACCCGGACCATTTGCAAATCCAAGAGGGGAAGTTGTCGACGTATCTTTGTGTCGATGATCATCCGGAGGTGTCTACCAATCTTGATAAGTCTAACTTGCATGGGGCGTACTTAAGCGTGGACCATGACATGCCTGCTTAGGACCCATGTACTGTCCCCACAAGAACTTTTGTTCGAACGACTTCAACCAGGGTCTGTCCTGTTTGTTTTGACGTCGAGGAAGTGGGAACTAGCCTCCGTTTGGAGGATGTGGTCTAATCTATCGTCGGGCTCTCCGACGGTCGACTGCAACGCTGGAAAGGGGGCGATGTTTGTTGGCTTGGCACCACCCCCCCTCGTGCCGCTGCGAGACGAAATTCGGAACTAGCGAATTCTGTCTGAAAAATGCCTATGGCGCCGTCGGATATGCGTCCCCGGAAGCGTTCCGGTGCATTGTTCCGGAAGGCGCCCCGTGGTCTGAGAAGCGGCGTGGTCACCCTAAACAGCTCTCGTTTTTGTTTCGATCACTGGCGCAGCGATTGAAGCTACCGAGGGACCCTCGGGTTTGAGACAAAGCAAGCGCTCTCTGTCGAGACAAACAGGCGCTCGACCCCGAAGTCAGTACTTAGCGCTCAGAAAAGACAGATATTTCACTTTCTATTGACAGATGATGATATGTCCCGGATATCTCCCTGGTGCTCCCATGCATGGTATAGAGACACTTCGACGCTCGCTGGCTCAACCACATGTCGTTGGGAGGTACCACTACATGTCGGGAACAGATGGACCGGGGCTATCTGGAAGCCTCGGCAGAATGGCTGGAGCGGTTGGCAAAACCGATGGGCGTCGCTATGGTAAGTCGAGATACCTCTGCCATGTTGGGTATGTTTTGTTGGAAGGTTTGGCCCGTACCTCTGGAACGCGGCCTGCATATTGGGCGCAACTTGGGCGGCGGAAAGCTTTTAGCAAGAGCATAGTCTAATCCGCGTCGGCTGGTGTCTTCCGTCCGCGAAGATATCGGCACTAAGGCGAGAGTAGGTCAGCCGACGAATTCCACTGGAAACTGATCGCTTGCAACGGCTTGCTGGGGAAACGCGGAGAATCTATAGTACCAACCAATCCGTACCAAGTCCTCCCTGGTGAGAGGCGAATGCGGATGGATGTTCGAAATAGGGGATGCCCAAATGCTATTGGCAAACATCGGTGGTTTTGTCGTTTGGATGGCGTTTTGCTTGAAGACAGTCGCAATGTGGTGTGTGACGTGGCTAGAATAGCGGCCCAACCAAGAGAAAAGTGCAGGTTTGTCTGGAGCTCTTGGGGCATCAAAGCTGGAGAGTTTCGATAAGCAGAATGATGCTTGCTGTTGTTGGGCAGTCGGAACTTCAGTTTTGGGGCCGCAGACTCGGCCGCTGCGAGGTTGAAAAGTTGAATGGCTTTGGCGTTGGTCCCATCGTAGCTTGAAGGGTGTGCCTCGAGCGTCGGTGGATCTTTCCGCTTCACTTACCAACGCCTTGTCTTCAGGCGGTCCTTCCTTGCTGTTGGGGACTCACGGACTCTCAGTCTGACTCACAGGGGCTTCTCCGAGAGGACCAAGCAACATAGGTTAGGAGCCAAGCGCTTTTCTTTTGTTCCTTCCTTAAGGATTCCGATTCATTGCCGGCACCGCGTGCCCAGACAGGAGCCTGAGCGCTGACCAGCATCGCCTTGAAGCATTGCCCAGGTGAGGTAGTATCTTATTTCAATTTCCCAGCCCTGTCAAACTTCCCCCAGTGGCTGGTAGCATCGAGCTCGCATCGCATATTCGACGTAGCACTCACATGGGGTCTTCTAGGTTTCGTTGATCTCATGGGCTAGGGATCGGTCCGCAGGCACGAACTTTCGACCATGACGTAGATCGGCAGCCCGGCGATTATGGCACAGCTCAGACAAGGAGCGACCGTACCCGGACGTTGGACACGCATATGGGATTTGGTTCCTATTCTGGCGGGAAGAACTGGCCGATAATCGAATTTAGGTTGATATCAGCGCCTCTGTGGGTCTTCTGTGGGCCATGGACGGTTGAGGTGAGGGAGAGGGTTTTACTTTGCGTCCAGAGCTGATGTCAGTGGGCATAGATAGCCAGAGCCTAGGGCCGCTCTCAACGGCACGGAATCGAGGGCATGCGGCGCCCGCTGTATTTCCGCTTCCTGCGGTCGTCACAAGACAGAATCAGACCGTGCCATTCCACCATGCGGGGCCCCAAGAAAAGAGGCGGCATGACACCAACATAGGCTCCAATAGAACAAGGCTACTCGGCATGCGAAGATGCAATGTCAATATTGGAAAGTCTGTCTCCACGCGTGTTTTTAGCTTCTGTGGAACACAATCACTCGTCTCTGCTACTTGCTATCGCAGCGCCAAACACCATCCACCCAGGGGTGTAGATACCACTGAGGATACTTTGACTTCCAGAACATCGGTACAAGTTTCCCACACTGTCTACTCCCCGCTGGTCAACAAGTACCTCGCCTATGTTGTATCCTCGACTGATGAAAAATACATACGCCGAACTCAACGGCAAACCACGGTGGCACAGACCCCAGCGACCGCGTTGAATCCGGCGCGTTACTGCAGCGCCCCTTTTTGCGTGTTGCCGCTGTGTCTGTACCACGTCACACGGCAGCGGCCTTTTATTCCCTTCTCTTCGGTGCTACGGCGGCGGACGACATGATGGACCAACGTTCCAGCATGCGTCGCCAGGTCCCCTGTATGTACTGTGTCGATGGTTGAACGGCATCATGTACTGTACCTTGAAGTTTCCCGTGTACAGCAGCCAACACGCCTACCTGCCTCAACCGTCCAGCGTCAGATATACCCGGCCAAAGTTTGGTCCCTATAAATGCCACTCCAACATTGACCCACCTGGCAATGAAGATGACATATCATGTTCCACCATGACGCACCTTAGTTGGTGCCGCCTCTGTCCATTTGCGCGCCGCACACGGGCTATTTATTTAGGGATGGATATCATTTATTCAATATACAATAGGGGATACGAGAACGAAATCCCTAGGCAGCGCTGGCAGCAATAGCCGAGAGGAAGAGGAGAGAGGCGGCGGCGCGGTTGGGTACCTAGCCGGGCACATCATAGTACGTGCCTTAGCAGTGGTGTAACTCTCCAGCGGCCTGCCCAAGAGAGAGGCGGGAGGGGAGATGAGCCTTAGTAGCCGCACCTGCCCGTCCGCCCGCCCGCCCGCCCATCCACAGGGCCGCTTTCTAGGCGCTGTTGTTTCTGCCGAGGTACTGTAGGGCTCGTGGATCCTGGAACACAAGGAAGTGCCTTTGTCCGCCCGCCCACTCCCACCGGGAGAGCAGTGCGGCTCATGCGCAGGCCTAAAAGGGTCCCGAAAGGGGTGGTTGGTTGGAGCAGCGGTGTCGGCCGTTGCACTGAATGCTACCCCGACTAGAGGAAAACCGAGATGCGATCATCGGGACATAGTGATCGAATGCAGCGAAGGTCCCCCGGTCTGGGACTTGGAATAACTTTCGCAGCCGCGGTAAGACAATGGGCTGCACCCTTTGTCTCGGTAAATTCAGTCCCGTGAACACAAAAGGGGGGGCGTCTCCAGTCACAGCATGTTGATTGTTGTCCCCCCATCCCCCCCCCTTGGGAAACACATGGAAGGCAAGGTGTGAAAGCAAATTTGATTTGCGACAAGAGATCAGAGATTCAAACAACCTGGGCCCGGCTACCACACCTCATCTGAGAGGCGTCGCAATGCCAGCCACCGATTTCCGGGGACGCTACTGTACGTGATACGAAACAAGAAAGAGCATGTGGGGGGGACTGGCCTCGGGAGGATGGCCGCTGATTCGCATTTTCCCACTGTGACATCGGGGTGGGCCAATCGAGGTTCGAGCCCCCTCCCGCAACACGACAGGCCTAACCCGGCGGGAGCATCCCGGGCTCTCTCATATAACTACTCCGCTCCGGCGGGGCGGTGTTGAGGGAACCCCTTGTCCCCTCTCTTCCCTCCTGGGGGAGGAGAATGGGAGGGCGGTGTGTGTGATCGTTGCTGGAACTGGCACACGCCCTCCGAGCTAGCGGTACCTTCCTCGTCCAAGTAGAGGAGCCAGAGCAGGACAGGAAGGAGGTGCTAGGGGAGTGCGGCGACGGGTCGAGGAGGAGGTAGGCAGGCCGGCCCGGGC